ATTGCTGAAGTGGACTAAAACGAAATCCAGACGATTGCCGGCATCCATCGGTATCGCCCATTTTTTTCGCTCAACAACTAACTTAGTGATACAGGAACGTGACTTCCGAAAAACATGTTGAGCGCATGAGAGGATATGAAGGTTCTCCAGGTGAAGATTTAGGGCTCTCTTCAGAACGCTTTTCATGATTTTACAAATTATCTATGTCAGACAGATTAGCCGGTAGTTTGCAGGATACTGCTGATCTCCTCACTGGAATATGGGTCTCACAGTAGCAAGTTTCCAAGCCCTCGGAAGGTGTCCGATGTCTATGGAGGGCTGAAAAACTTGGCAAACTGGAGAAGCAATGTGTTGAGCCACTGTCTTGAGGAACAAAGGGTGCAGATCATCCGAACACGGTGAAGAGTTCGGATTTAACTCAAGAAGTAGTTTTATAACCAAGTCGTCATTGAGCTCAATACGCTCTAGTGTAGAGAGCAGGGGGACACACAGTCACGGAATAGTTGCGCTTCGATGAAAAAGAGGTAGGAATGTTGCAGAGCCAGGAGATCAGCTTTGGTATCTTCCTCATACAGTAAGGTTTCAGTATTGCTAGAATACAGGGCAGCTAGGGTAAACCAAGCTGTTGTACTCTATTTCAGATACGAGAACAGTAGTTTGAGTGGGGTCTTGTATTTTTCTGCCAACCGAAGTTTGTACTGTTGTCGTTTCGCGCAATTCGTTTGAGTGCGGAAGTTCCTTACCGACTTTTAGTCGAGTAGTCCAAAGCCGATGTTGTAGACCTAAATCTATCCCATACTCTGCGTCGTTTATTCATAAGGATCCGTAACTCATGATGGATCTAAGGACTGTCCTTGGAAAACTGTTTACTTTGACAGAAATGGATTATTTGATCAATGAATGAACTCATTTTTTAATGTAAAGTACTTGCAGCAAGTCTCAGACGGTGTGGGTCCGCAAGAACGAAGTTCCGACGGTACACACTTTGATCATGAAATGTGAGACGATGTGTCCATTCAAATGAAATCACGAAATGATCACTTTGCCAGTAGGTTGTAGTACAGTCAGTGATGGGACATATGAGAAGGGCATTGACAGCACAATGTTCAAAATGTGTGGAGCCTGGCCTGGATATATTCTAGTGGGCGCTGCAACATGCTGGAGCAAATGACAACCAAGAATAGTTCCAAAGAGAAGAGAAGCGAAAGAGTCTGAAGAGAGGTTAAAATGGAGCAGATCGCAATCAATAGCAAAAGCATTAAAGTCTCCCATTATCAGACAGTTTCTACCCATGCTGTGCTACTTTATCAACTCCAGTAAGCAAGGTCCGGACCGTATAAGTGCTTTGAAATGACTCCGGCCATCCATCATGAATACGACATCACAAAAGCTCGGAAGCAGCAGCGTTGCTGCAGAATGCTTCCACAGAATGGGCCTTGAGGCTCTCCTTCCGGTACAGAATCACGCCACCCCCAGACCTCATTCCAGAACGGTCGGCCCGAGAGAAGTGATACTCCGGAATTTGAACCTCTGAGTTTAGTATGTCCGAAGATAACTAGGTCTCTGTGAAGGTCAGTAAATCCGGTGCTTTCTCTGAGACAAGGAGTTGAATCTCGTCAAGCTTGTTTTTTATGCTATGCACATTGGCCGCTATAACTTGAAGCCCATGCTTTAGCCTTGATGCCTGGATATGACGAAGATTGGTTTCCATCAAACTCTGCGCTTTCTGTACCACGCGAAAATCCACAATGTGGGGATAAACCTCACCATTTGCCCGACGTCACCGTAGCTGTTAGACAAGGTACTTTATCCGAGCTAGACAAGACAACTGGAGGGAGGGGGTCAGCCTTTGTTTTTCGTGCATGCGTCACAGAGCTGAGCGTGGATTTTAGCCGCATAAGCCGCTTGGCACGCGTCAGAAATGAAAAAGCAAAGGAGGAGGTCGGTTGGAGAAGCTCATACAAATTAGGAAATATGCAGTTAGCAATTGCACGGATTGCATTGCAGGGCGTTTGAGCGGGTGGTGACCGTTTTGCAGTCTAAGCACTTCGATGGCATTATTTCTCTTGCACTTGAGACTTTTGCCAAAAGTAAAATGCAGATCCCAGTGTTTATTCAACCAATTTTCAACGATATTTCGGCCTGATACGTGAAATGGGCTGCAGGAGACCTGGTGTTAGTGAAACAGCCTATGACGGGAGTGGAAAGCCTATCCACAACTTCTCAAAACCTTTGGAGCGTTGAGCTGAGCATTTTGTAAATCAATTTAATCTACCGGATTAGTTAGGTTTCTCACCGAGCAATGATCATCCTGCACCTTGGGCTGTCCCTCTGAAGACGCCCTCTCGCTCAGAAATCAAAAGTGAGTTAGACTGTTGAAATTGAATACAGCCGCGGAACCAGAAGATCCTCATACAGCCTAGTTCAAATTCAGGGGCACAGCTTTTGTTGATGACTTACACGAATTACTAGTAAACTGGGGGAGCAGGAAATTGTCCCAACAGACTGGAACCGTTCGGTTACTGTCCCAATCTTCAAAGGAGGCTTGGGTTCGGAATGCGGCAACTATAGGGGAATTAGTATTATCCCCATCGCCTCCAAACTACTTGCCTCTGTAATCTTCAAAGAGTGACTGGCGCTCGTGAAAGCCAGGTTCGTGAGGAGCAAGCTGGGTTATGTCGATGTAGGGGTGCATCGACCACATCTTCACTTTGCGTCAGTAGTTAGAGCACCGTCAGAAATATTGGTGTCCCATCGTTGTTATCTTCTTCGACATCAAAGGTGCCTTTGATGCGGGTGATGGGTGTGCCATTTCAAACAGTCTACTTAGGAAAAATGTGCTCAAAAAGATGTAAATATTATCCCAGCATTATACCCGCGTAGCTCGGGCAGAGTGAGCGCTACAGACAGCTGTCGCCGTCCTTCAGTATCTTCATTGGTGTGAGAGAAGGATGCCAGCAGTTCCACTCCGCTATTGACGAATTCATGGAAATCGCCTTCACAGAACAAATTAGAACATGTAGAGCTTCTCCCAGGTGAACAAGTTCTTGACTTGGAGTACGAAGACGATTTTTCCTCATCTGTGACAGCTCACAAACGTACCAAGCGGCACTAGATAGGTTAGCACTGACTGTCAGCCGCTCCGAGCTTTTCTTTCCATCCTCGAAGTGTAAAGCTTTCCTCCAAGATGGACGTGGACCGCTTCCTGCGCGGACCCTTATTGGGATCAGCTAGAAGTCGTCCAAAAATTCAACTACCTGAGATGTTGTATCAGCACCCTTGGGATCGAAGTTGAGATCACGAACTGTAAACCAAAAGTTTGAGGCGATTTTGCTAACGTTTGCCACGAATGGCGCCGGTGAGACATCACTTTCGCCCTGAAGGCTAGAGTGTACAAATCAGCGGTAGCTCCGACCGTACTGTTCGGTTGTGAAACCTGGTCCATTAGATCAGTGGACATAGAGGCTAGTTACGTTCGACCACAGGTGCCTTCGCAATTTGGCTCACATTGGGTGGGAACACCGTGTGGGCAAAGCGCGTGTTCGAAGCCTTGTTTACTGCACAGCAAAAGCCAAGGAACCGCTCAGCACCGTCATTTAATGCACCAAGCTCCGATGGCTCAGCCACGTGTTACGTATGCCAGCCCACTGGCTCCCGCGACGTGCGTTGTTTTCGCGCCGGGGGTGTGCTTGGAAGGAGAAGGAGGGGTGGCGAAGTGATTGCTCGATCAAAAGGAACGAAATCCCTCCCTTTCCAAGCTGGCCTCGGTTGGGGCGTCTCGGCTCCTTGATTGGGGTCCGAAAGAAGATGAACACGTTTGGTTGGATACACCTGATGACATGGCTAGGAGCCTACCACAATGGCGTTCGTGCTGTGGGCTTTTTCCATCTCCATCCATCTTAATCTTTCCCACCAATCACGATCACATTTCTTGGCACAATATAATGTTGCGTGGTAAATTCTTTGCGGCATACTAACCCGCTGGTAGCTTTTCGGAACGACGTTCATGAGTAATGCTAGCTCATCTGGCATACATCAGTTGCAATTTTTACTTTTATATATTACGGCAGAGTAGGTGAGGTGTTTTCCACCACCAGCTAACGTGTATAATGGAAGATAATGATGATGGCAAAGACCATATAACAGAAAATAAATATGGAACATATGGTGATTTTCACGGACCGCTTTTTCCTCTGCTAACTTTTCGATTGCGAGTTTGATCATTAGAATCAACGCGTAGACCGATGCAGACCTTCCATGGTTTGCGATTACGCACCATGTTTTCAAGTGTCTCCAACCAGTAACGTTCTTCATCTTTGACTCCCCAGCCCGGAATGCGTACTGGGCCGACAACAACAAGATTGGAAGTCCACACCTTGACTATTCGTCGCCTTGTTGTTGGCTGTCCACCGAACGATTTCAACCAATGCGGCCCCGCTAGAGCGTATAGGGCGTGCCGTGAGAAACGCTAGCGCGGCATGCATAAGACGTGAGTTAACCACCTCAGTTGACGTAGCGATATTGGCATTTGTCTCTGCTGACTGGTCGTGTTGGATGCGCGTGTCGTGGTACTACGATCTGAGTTAAGCTCACCCATCCAAGGGCCTACTGTATTCCACAGTGGCAGATAGTATTTAGCAGACTTTAGGTTTTGGTGACACTAGCGTGTTGAAATTCCATAACTTATTCATTGCCGAACTGAATATCATAGAACTACTACGCTGGCCGAAAAGTTAAATGTCGATATTAGGACCTGTGGAAAGGTTTATTTGTCTGACGCATATGACCGCAGCGACAAAGTTGCCTTAATTCGCAGTGGATGAAAACGAGTTACTCTCGAAGCCCTCTGATATACACAAATTGTAAGTGGGGTACAACTAATACCTTTGATATTAGGATCTGATAAAAAGTCCTTAATTTTTGATTTTGACTCTATACCTAGATCATTACATCAAGTACGATCTATATTTTACAATCAGTGTTTGAGGGGTTATTCTTACCTGTTTCTGTTTGATTTCCTCATCAGTAAGCATGTTGATTGAGTACCAATTTCCCCGTTATAAAATTCCTTGCTTCCGATCACACGTCAGGCTCCCATCTATGGGTTATAATCCGGTGAAACTGGCTGATTTTGAAAGGACTTAGGATCGCAATTAGCTTTGCTATAGTGAATTGATCAATGTTATGTCTGGGGTTTAAAATGTCCTACGTCACGTGACACCCAATGCGTGTGAGCGCAAAAAACGCGTTGTTTTCCCAGTAACTGGGAATGTGATCGGAAAATTGCTTGACAGTAGTAAACGAAGTCTTTATTAACTCAATTCAACAGTTAGAATAATTTCTAGCGTAATGTTTAAAGCTTTGGCGTGAACTGAAAACTATTTTTGTGAACTATAAAAGTAAGACCAAAGGTACCAACAAGATAGTAGATACATGCATGACTTCAAAGTTGGCAGATTCCGCATCTTCGGGTTCGCAGGTTGCATTTTCATAGACTGTCTAGGCTCTTAAATTTTTTCATCAGCTTTTTTTCATTGTACTACCTGCTGAATTAGCGAAATTTGTGCATACCCTATGCTCAGTCACGATGACCATGACTATATTTTAAGCTGATTAGAATGGCCTTGTAATTATATTTATTACTCACGAATACAGTCATCGTCCTCAGTATACGTGCTAGATGGAGATGGGAAATCTCTCAGCTATAGTGCCACAATACATGGGAAAAGAAAAAGGTACGATACAAAGGCACGCCAGCTGAGCCAACCGTAACCGATGGACATCGTTCTGGAGAGGTATTGTGACGCAAGAAAATTGTCTTATTCATCACAAATCAGATCATGGTTTGAGTGGGATGCTAATAGGCAGGGGAGGGGCAAAGAAACTCACAACACATAAACCACTGAGGTCGGCTACTAACCATGTCAGCAAGTGTACCCAAACACACTTGTTTATCGACTTACGCGCCCCAATCAGGGACCCGAAAGGCTATGACTGAGGCCAACTTCGAGCTAAGAGCCGTCATTCTTCTTGAGCAGTTCGTCGGTTGGCCTCCCTCTTCTCTCATTCAGCAGCACTGTGCGCAAAGTAACGCGTAGTGTGAGTCGGTGTAGTGGCATGTGCAACACGTGGCCCAGCCATAGAAGCCTGGTGCGCGATATAACGATGCTGAGCGTTTCACTTCATTCCTCCACTTAACACGAGACACTAAACAAGCTCACTGATCACGCGGTGTTCCCGCAAGACATGAGCTAAGCTGCGAGGGCAGCGATGCTCGAATGTAACTAGACTCTTTATGTCGGCTGACCTAATGGGCCAGGTTTTACAACCCTACAGTAGGGTCGGAAGTACAGCAGCGTAGTAAACACTGACCTTCAGGGAGAGAGTGATGTCACGCCGAGGCCATAGGTAGCGAAGTTAAGCAAAGTACTTAGAGCTTTTGCTTTACGCTTCGTGACATGGTGTTAGATTTCAGAAGCGCTGATACAACCGCCTAGATAGTGGAATTTTTGAACAACTTCTGGCTGATCCTAACATGGGTCAGAGCACGTGTCGGTCCCTTCCAATCTTGGAGAACTTTGCATTTTGCGGGTTTAGAGCATAGCGCAAAATGGTTGAGAGCCAGTGCTAATCTGTTCTTTGCTGTTTGAAACATTTAGAAGATGTCACAGATGAGGACAATGTCATCGGCGTGCTCCAAAGCAAGAATTCGCTCACCAGGAAGTAGCTCCACAACTTGTCGATCGTGTCTAGCGAAAGCTGCTTCCATGAGTTTGTCACTGGCGAAGTTAACGAGGAAAGATGACAGCAGGCAGTCTTGTTTCACACCGTTGGAGATATTGTGGGGAGGCGATAGTTCAAAATAAACCCTCAGTCTGCCCGAGCTATGTGCGTACAGCACTCTGCTAATGTCTATGTATTTATCGAGCACACCTTTCCTCAACAAACAGTCCCATAGAGCACATCGGTCCACCGAACCGAAGGCACCTTTGGCATCGAGAAACGTGACAACAGTGGGCCGCCAATATATTTGACGGTGCACCAAAAATTGAGATAAAGTGATGTGATCGATGCATCCCCTACCTCAAAGAAACCCGACTTGCTCCTCACGAATCTGGCTTTCATGGCTGTCAATAACTAGTGAATGATGAGCGAAGTAATTAACTTGAAGGGGATGAATATCAGACTGGTTTCTCTATGATTGCCGCACTCTCAACTGGAGCATCCATTGAAGATCGGGATGATAACGGAGCGTCTCTTGTCAGTTGGGGCGGTTACCTGCCCCCACTGTTTCACTAAGAACTCATGTAACATCCACAAGAGTGAGTCCCCTAATTTGAGGGCGGATCTAAGCGAACAGTTCAGTGAGCAGTGTTATCACTGGTCAATGAAAAATCTAACAATTCCGGCAGAATAAAGGGCTATCATAATGCTCAACCCAACATTCCAAAGGTTTTGTCAAGTTGTAGATAGGCTGCCCAATCTCGTCGCATATATTCTCACTAACATCAGGTCTTCTGCTGTCTATTTCGTGTATCAGATGGAATAACTTCCAATGGTAACCAACGGCAGCTGCTGCTTCTATTTCCGACGCACGAAAAGACCCCAGGCTTCAAGGTCTCTCTTCAGGCCATGACAGAGTTTTGTCATGATGTCTTTGGAAGTTTCGTGTTTGCTTCTAGCTGGAATTTGCTGGCGAGGATCTATATATTGCAAAGACTACGTAGAGACACCATGTTCAGCTTGTCCACTGGATTTACCACTTGACGGCTTGTGTACAGCTGACAAGGTCTGTTGGACTTGAGACCAGTGATCTTCAAATGTCTTCAGTGAGCGCTTTCTAGACACGAAGGCCAGCGTACTCCGATGCACCTTCAGAACATCTGGCTTTGCCAGTTGGAGAGTGTCTAAGCGCTCACCGCGTCATCGAAGGCGTCCGTCAAAACGCACCCGCAGAGCGGCACATACAAATGCATAGTCAGTGTCCACACACGTGATGAAAACAATCTACAAGTTTGGCGGTTGCCTCTCCAACAGTAACTGATCGCTATGTGCTCGATTTGTGTCCATGGCTGGTTCAAGGCTGCGGGCGCCATCTCACCCAATTTCTGGCGCTTTGTCGGAAATTAGTGCTCGCGAGAAATAAGCGGGCATTTTCACACAGATAATATAGCCTCTCACCATTATCATCACGACAGTTTGCACCGTGTTGATCATTCAGATAAAGCTCACCGGCTAAAACATTTTCAACTTGAGCCCTCAGATTCCCTGTCCGCACTACACTATCCATGCTTCTTTTGTGACGAATAAGCTTCTTCATTTGGTGATACAGCGGTATAGTTTGTGGTCGCGTTGACAGCGATTACAAAGGCATCTACTTGCGTCGCCTGACTTCGAAGACTTAAATGAACCATTCAGTCGGAGCGCACACATCCGGCTACTGACTTTAATGCATTCAAGCATTTCAACTTCAGGCGGGAGACTCATGCAGTACCCAGACCGGTTTGACTAGCACCCAATGCCGCATCGTTACTGCAACGTTACTGGCGTGGGTTGCAGGATGAGAAAAGTGCTCGAGCCCTGCAGGTGGGTACCCTATTAGCAGAGAAATCGACTGAGAGTATCTCTAATGTTCAGGCCAGTGTTGCCTGTGGACCTATGTGTAACAACATGAGCACATTGAGGCATGCATGGGAGGGAGGATCGTGGGCTCCAAAACGAAGCGGATGTACTTGGTTGGGCATGGCCTTGTTGGCAGAGCAGAAGTACGCTCCACGTTTATGTGTGAGGTAAAACTAGAAGCTGAACGACTATCAATGCAAGGTGGGGAGGGCAATGAATAGCGAAGTTAAAAACAGAGGGGGTGAAAGTGAAGTTGGAAAGTGACGAAATGTGTGGAAGATTAGAAGAGGGAGAATAATAAGACGGGAAGTTTCGAGCAGTAGCATCCAAACGCCTATCTACCCCGCTCGATGCAGCCGATACTACACCCGCTGCAACGGCCAAAACATCAAGCAGTTGTTGAGAAAAGTTTCATCGTATTACACTGGCAGAATACTGTTAGGTTGCCCAAGCCTAAGCAAGAGAACGATTACGGTTCTGAACCAAAGCTTTCTGTACAAAATCTTGACGGCAGGACAAAGGGTTTGGCAATGGTTTACAGAAAGTGCGTTTTTAGTATTAATGAGCCACCATCACTCCAAAACGTAACCTGGTGGACCACGAGACTGAGTTTGTCGGGCCTTGTAGGACTAGTTAATACTAGTCCGAGACGGTGCACGAAATTAAGCGCGGATATCAGAAGGCAATTGGAGTCGGACACAGCGGACTGTCGGGCTACAAGAAGACGTGGACGGATGAAGCGAGACAAGAGTGAACACGTGAGCGCGGGAACTTACAAAGCGGTCGAGTGTCGAGCCGGTTGTAAGGACGATTAAAACAAGAAAGAATAATGTACAATCGGTCAACAATTAAATTGTACATGAAAGATAAGAGTTATCTTTTTGGGCGCTACAGCCTTTATTCGCGGACCAATATGGTATGAGTAAATCTAAACCGCCACAAAACACCATCTAGCAACGCTCAATGGATCATTGAGACACGTAAACCATCTCACGTCATTACGATGTCACGAATGCAGTCAAAATTAGACGGACAAAAATAACCAATCCGTAATTTTTAGCTGGTTCCCGGTTTAAACAATATCAATATACACCATTTGGCATAATAATTTTGGATAATACCTTTGGTTTGGGGGCATCAGTAGACAAATACAACCTAGTGCGCTCCCCATATTTGCCCATGGACATTGTTCCGACACTGGTAAACTAGGATTACGGAGTACTTCTCGCAGTGACCGGTATTACGGTTATATGTGGTAGGCTAACTAGTGAACTAGGTAAGTGGAAACATAGTTGACACTCATTAACAACATAGTTGGTAGCTGGACCGGTTCCAAAAGATATTCGGCACAGCTCTACTAGGTTAGACAATTGCCGTGCCTCCGCATGAACGCTGGATTCAGCTTGGTAGATTCGGGCCAAATCAATAGCGCGCATTTTATTTGCTTGGTGGTAGGATAGAACTGGTAACCTCTTTTTCGAAGCAGTGATCAGGGACTCCA